ATGTGCTGCTGCATCTCACATGCCATCTTCCCACGGAGCAGCTCAAGCGCATCCTTAAGAACGCTCGTGCCGCTGGTATCCGCAACATTTTGGCTCTGCGAGGAGACCCTCCCATCGGTGCTGAACAGTGGTCTCCCGTAGAGGGAGGACTAAGCAATGCCGTAGATCTTATCAAACTCATCCGAGAGGAGCATGGAGACTACTTCTGTATCGCCTGCGCAGGCTACGCGGAGGTGCATACCGAGTCGTGGAACCATCCGGACTTACCGCCGTCCAATGAGGCTCGTGCCCTGGACCTACAGCGACTCAAGGCTAAGCAAGACGCAGGTGCTGACTTCATTATCACACAATTCTTCTTCGACGTGGATAACATGATTCAGTGGATCACTCAATGCAAGGACGCAGGGATCAGTATCCCCATTCTGCCTGGTTACTTGCCGATCCAGAACTACAGCTCCTTCTGTAAGTTCACGAGTTGGTGCAAAACCCGAGTACCTGAGAAGGTGCTGGCAGCTCTAGACGCCATTAAGAACGACGACGCGGCTGTGCGTCGATACGGTACGCAACTTGCGGTGGAGACTTGTCAGCGTCTGCTGGCTGCAGGTGTGAACTCGCTTCATTTTTACACGATGAACTTGGCCGCGACTGTGACGCAGGTGCTGGAAGAACTGCAGCTACAACCTGCTCGCAACCAACGCGAACTACCGTGGCAGTCAACGTTGCAACGCTCCACCGTTGAGGGTGAGCAGGTTCGCCCGATCTTCTGGTCTAACCGCCAGGCTAGCTACATTGCACGTACTGCTGCGTGGGACGAGTTCCCGAACGGACGTTGGGGGGACCGCACGAGCCCCGCTTACGGAGAACTGTCAGAGTATTATCTCGCCTTCAAGCGACCCAAGCTCAAACGTACTGAGCTATGGGGCACTCCTCAGAGTGAACAAGATGTTTGGAACGTATTCGTTCGCTTCATCGACGGCCATGTGAAGCAACTCCCGTGGTGCGAACAGGCTCTATCACTCGAGAGTGCAGCCATCCGTGAAAACTTGCAGTGGCTCAACTCCAATGGCTTCTTGACGATCAACAGTCAGCCACGCGTTAACGGGGCTTCGTCGAGTGACCCTTTGGTCGGGTGGGGTGGAGACGAGGGTATAGTCTTCCAGAAGGCCTACGTAGAGTTTTTTGTGGCACCTGAAAAGATGGAGCACCTCGTCAAGGTCATGCGGCGCGATCACCCTCACTTGTCGTTCCACGCCCTCAATCGCCGGGGCGACGAGCACCGTAACACGCCACTGCACAGTGTCACGGCCGTCACATGGGGTGTTTTCCCTGGCATTGAAATCATGCAGCCTACAGTCGTGGATTCCGATTCGTTCGCTGCCTGGAAGGACGAGGCATTCGAGCTGTGGCAGACACAGTGGGCGTCGGCCTACCCTGAGGTCTCACACTCTCGCGAGGTTATCCAGCACATCTACGACTCGTACTTCCTCGTCAACATCGTCGACAACGACTACGCAAATGGTGAGATTTTGTTCTAATCCAATATTTGCTTTAACTTGAACTTATTACTCTGCTATCCTACAGATGACTCGGACATCTTCAGCATCTTCACGCAAATCATCACGGAAGCCATGGACAAGGAGCAACTGCGTGCGCGTGTACTCGAGTTGGAAGCTCGACGCGAGAAGATGTTCGATACACTGGCGTCGTTCCAATCGCAACAGGAGGAGCTTAATGGCGAGCTGCGAGCTGCACACTCGGAACTTGCAGGTGTTCGTGGCGAGAACCTCCAGCTGAAGGAGAAGGTCCGCCAGCTGCAGGCCCAGCTCGCACTCGCGTCTCTGTAGATAACCAAAGAACAAACCCTCTCGCCAGCTCAATTGGAGCGATCGCAACGGACACTGGGCGGGTGGCTACTACATTGCCATTCCTCGCTCTCTCTTATCAATCTTTTCCCAAGCCCTCAACCAAGCCAAGCCTCTACCTACCCCAAGATGCCCAGAGCCCCGCACCTCGCATTTGCCAGAGCTCGTGTCCTCGACTGTCTCCGTGTCGGCGGTGACTGGACGCCTGTGGCCGCCCACAACGAAATCCCCGCCACCACATCACGTCGATTTATGGAAGCAAACGGAAGCACACGTCGCTGAGCGAGCCGACTTGGTACTTGTACGGCTGGCTCCGTACTCTTCAATATGTAACCCCATTCAAGGTACGCAGTATACTGTATTACAATATTTTTTTAAATGGCATACTAACCGACTTTTGAACTGGTGCTACAGGGTGTTTTAGTGCTTTTAAGGCCAAGATCAAGGCCGACCTTGCCTTGCCCCCGTAAAGGGCTGGTTGTGGAGCATCCTCGCGGGACGGTTGCGGCTGCTCGGATGGAGAAACTGGAACGCGCGGCGAGACGCCGCATCGGATGTATCGACACGCACCTTGCTAACAGGCTGAAACTGCATTGCCAGCATTCCGTTGCTGCCGCGGAGCGCATGGAACACATGCAGTACGGCACCTAGCTGCAGCTCAGCCTGAGGGGACTCCACTTCGTCCTGCGTCTCGGCTTCGACTTCTGCTTTCAATTCCTCTTCATTAACGAGAATAGGCACTTCACGTTTCTCCTCTTCCAGACTACCGAGGATATCACTTGGTTCGTCGCATTTCGACAACGGCTAGAAATAATTCCATGGACCATTGTGAAGACCGCATGATCGTGGTACGAAACTCCCCGACGTCCTTCACGCCAACTTTCAATCTCCTCCGAAGTTGGTTCGAAAAACGCGCTGGTGCTGCGAAAGAAGAAAACTCGAAGAAAAA